ATTCTTAAAGTAAACATATATGAGTTTCGTAAACTCCAGATCACGTCTAGCCAAAATATCCCGAACTGGAACATTAGGTTGTCTACCTCGAGCCCGAAGGGAATCGCACAGCTTAGATCTGACTCCACGATGCTCAGCACAAGACCAAAGGATGTGATCGGCGTCTTGGTAACCTTGTCCACATTCACAGAGATTGCTGTCTCCCAGCCCAACACGAAACAAGTGAGCGTTTAACGAATAGTGATTGGACATGAGGCGAGACATCAGACGAATGAATCAACTTGGCCAATTTGTCAAATTATCTTATCAAAAAATAGTAGAAATTCTCATTACTGATCATTACCAAACGTATCCCATGACAATTTAATGCTCACTGCGTGTTTATGATCATTTATTTAATTATATTTTATATTTTATTGCAATACCTTTCGTGGACCTTTTTTACTTTGCACGATAGGTAGCCAGTTTGACAGTTCAATTGGTAGACTTGGCTTCACTCATGGCATGACTCATTATACACCGACTCTAGATAAAACAATCTCCATCCATGACAATTAACGGCAGTGGCTGTGAGGTAATGCAACAGATTGCTATTATATACTATCCACTCCTACATAACGTACTTTTATTATACTTAACAAAAGGCTCGTAACACTTTGCCGTATGACTTCACCCCCCGCAATTTTAACAAGCACTTGACATACTTTTATAAACAAATTCCGCATGATCGGCCAATGAAAACGCTCAATATTGAATAAGAGTTACTCATATACATATGAGTTTAGGTCACTCAAATTCGTGAAAACGTAGGTCACTCATAGAATGAGTAAATTTCCCCACACTTTTCCGATGAAAACTTCTTGAATATGAGGAAAACTGATTGTGGTTTTAGTCTGTCTACTAGTACACTTCTAACCTGTGTATAATTTTCTTAAATTTTCCCCATATTCGAGAAGTTTTCCCCGGGAGAGTGTCGTAAAATTTAGTGACCTACGTTTTAGCGATTTTGAGTCATCTGAACTCAAATATGGGTAGCATTTTTTGTCAATGTGCGATTGGTTTTGGAAGTATTTTTTTGTTTCTAAATCATTAAAAATAAACTCACGACGATCAACGCCGAGACGCCGCCGCCGCCGGCAGAAAACAACATATCACGCCGCCGCCGAAAATATTTTGATCGACGCACAGGTCTAACTACGCAGCCATTGCCAACAAAGCCACTGCATTTTTATCAAATACCGCCGGAAGCGACAGAATCTGCCTCCTCAGCGAGAGGGACAGAGTTCTCCCTACAATCGCCAACGCAGAGCTCCCCCCAGTGGCCAAGATTCACTGGTACGGAGATAAGAGTTGGCAATCTCCCGCACCAAACATCGCCAAAACAATGTTCGGTGTTCTCGGCAGAAGCAGCGGCTATTCTTCATGCCGTCACAGTTCCTGCGGATCGCCCAATCCTGATCCTGTCGGACTCCCACAGTGTTATTCAGGCCCTTTCGTCGGATGTCGCGATCCACCCCTGGATCTAGGGCATCCTGAAGGTTGCGCCACCAAACACTACCTACATATGGATTCCCGGACACTACGGAATCCCAGGAAACATCGAGGTGGACAACCTATCCGGGTCAAGCCCATCTGGTCCTCGGTACTCGCACAAGGTGCCGTTGCAGGACGTGAAGAGATGCACAGTGCGGACAGCATGGGCAACGGAATGGTCCAGACTTCCGTTTATTAGAAAAATTAAAGGGCGACATCGGAAAGTGGACGGAGCTTGCAAACCTGCGAGACCAGAGGGTTTTTCCAGACTCCGGACAGGACACTCCCTAATCTCACGGGATTTCAGCGGAAGACCTGTGAATTCTGCCATATTCCTACGACGGTGGAGCACGTGTTATGCGTATGTCCACAATTCGAGCACTGTCGTTGCCTCCACGCCCACAGTCTGCCTGTCAGCGTACGGGACACGCTAGTAGACGTGCCCTTAACTCAAGCAGCTGTACTGCGGTTTTTGAAGGCGGTGAAGCTATACTGTGCAGGATTTAGCACCATCGATTCCTTCAGCCGTCAGGACATCCCCACTGGACGGGGCTCCCAAGGACCTCCTACAGTGTACCTATGTTCATTCTATATTTTGTTTTTCATAATTTGTATCTTTTTAATATGTCTTTTTCGGATGCTGTTTACTGTGTTATTGTACTAGCTGTTTATATTTTTAGCTAAGTTGATTATCAAAGGTTGTAATAGAATGATACTCAATTAATTTGGCTGGAGGACCTCTCTACAAGGCTTCCCACCCTTTACGGAGATGAACTAGCCTACGGTTAAAAATATCCTGAATGAAGAAAAAACTTCGCTACTTTCATATAGGGGAAATGTCTCTAATGTTGGCCTATGGATCTAAGATTGGGCCCATCGCTAAAAATCTGCTATTTATCAATTTTATTTAGATGAACGCGTTATTGGGACGTTACTAATGGATATTTTTGAGTGCTATTGAAAATTTAGTCGTTTGCTGAATTTATGTATGGACCCAAATTAGGGACACTTGTACCGACATTACCTGCATTTCCCCTAAATAGAGTATGTATGGTGTAGTGGAGTCCGTGTACGGCTATGGATGTGAAGGGCACGCAATTTAATTGAACTATAAAAAACACAAAAAAAATATGTTCTACAGTAATTCATTAGACGATTAGAAAAGTTGTGAGAGAATACTTTTGCGAGAAAGCTGAGTATAGCCAGCCACTCACACAGCTTCACACTGTATTTATTATTTCATAATAGCTTTGTGAATCACATTTGGTGAAATTGAATTTCTTAATCATGCGTTTTTTTACATATTCTTGCAAAAATCGCATGGTTTGTTACATTTTTCGCAACATATTTGACTTTTGGGTGTAGAAAGCGTCAACTCCAAGTGAGAGGAATGCTGCTTGAGTATTTTAGATAGAATGTTCAATAGCATTGATCAGTTAAAGAACAGCTCATGAGAAGGAGTCAACTAAAAAAAAAAAAATTGAACGTTTCATAAAAAAAAAATCAAAGAACAGCATGCTGCAAAGGAGCAATGAACTCCAAGAGAACTGTTACCCTTGAAAATATTCAATTGAATTTTTAAAACTATTTTGCTTTCAAAGCACTGCTGATCATAATTAGAAGGAGTCAACTTAAAGAAAAAAATAATTTTTGAATATTTCAATTCAAGAGCAAATTTTCATTATGTCGTAAGTAACATTCGCACCGATCCGAGAAAAATAAAGTTTTGTTTGGATGACCGAAAATTTATTCCTATTTCCAATTAAACACATATAATCCCATAGTGATAGCAATGTTTAACATATTCAGCCGGGTTTTAATCATACAAAGGCAAATCGCTAGCTTTCATGCTAAGAAATACTGGTTTTTAAGTCAAAAGATATTATACGTCGTTTGGTGGCCCCTATTGTTACTTAAGTCAAAGTGTATTTACCAGGATATTCGGGAGAATTATCAATTACGTCTCCTTACGTGCAGCCCATTCATCATTTTAGGACCACCGAGATCATCTTAGCAACAAACAGTTCGATTTATTCACTTTAATAATGAGAAAGCGAAACGACGAAAGTACACTTTTCACGGGTTTCTCAGTGCTGTTACTTAAGGCAAACGGCATCTCCATAGAAATCGGGTGACTTAAGTAACATCGAAAAATATTTTGATCGGAAGGTGATTACGTCAAAAAGCAATTCGACTGGTAAATAAATTTAAAAATGGGATGTGATCCTATATTCGGACAGTATATAGTGTAATAGCAGGAGCATCGATTGACACTGATAGCTCGACTTTGTTTACCTTTGTTACATTCGACGCAATGAAAATTTGCTCTTGAATTGAATTTTTAATAAAACAAAAATGTGTAATAACAGCTCTTGCTCTGGAGTCAAATCCAAGAGAGATGTCACTTTTGAGAATTTTCAGATGGAATTTTCAAAAACTTTTATCTGTCAAAGAACAGCTCAAGGTACATAGAAGAAGTCAACTCCAAGAGCACCATAATTTATGAGTATTTTATGATAGAATTTTTTAAAGCATTTATCTGCTAAAGAACAACTTATATTATAAAGAAGAAAAATCCAATTTAACAAAATAATCGCTAACGTCTGTTATGGCTACCGTACATTATGGCTAGAGTCTTTATGGCAATCGTACGTATGGCAAACATAACATCTCTGATAACACCTTCCTTCGGAAGGGAAGTAAAGCCGTTGTTCCCGGTTCAGGAGTTTATGGGCCAATAGGTAGGGTCCAGGTGTGTGAGCTGCCTCCCTGGCGTCGGTAGCATTGGTGCTCAGCTCGGAAAACAAGATCGACGGAAACATTCCGCTTGGTACTAAACTGCGCTATATAAAGAAAGTGCGGGTTGTACTTAAAAGGCCGGAAATGGGGTAGTTAACCCTATTAGTTTATTTGTCATACAAATGTTTGAAAAAACTATTCAGGATTATCGGTAAAAAGTGATCAACTTCCCCCCGTTTTACGGTATTATGATGGCAATAATGATTTCAACATAACTTATGCTCAGCCTGTGTCGCATACACTTCACGAATGTATCATCGCTCACTGTCAAACTCGAGAGAGTGAGCGAACAGAAAACTTTTCTGATAAGATGCTCCTTTCGTTCTATGTATAAGCCTGTCAATTGTACGCGAAGTGAGACATGTGCAGTGCATGCCCTATCAGATCGCTGCTCTATCAACACCATGCTATTATTATTCAGTTCGTTTTTGGATTTCGCCACGTTCGGATCGTATCGACGGGCCCGCGATTCTTATAGTTGTGTAATCTGATCAATCAAACCACAGAAAAAAACAAATTTCATTCTAACTCATCAAGTGGAAGCCAATTTGTGGAATTGTCCCAGCAGAGATTGAAACGTGCATAAATTAGCATAATTTGAAAATCCTGTTACGCAGCAGTACGTTATGCAATCTGATGTGCAATAGTGATTGATCAAAGAAAACAGAAGATTGTGTGAGACGCTCATCATGATCGTCATAGTACTGATCAGTTTCCTGATAATCGCTTTCATTGTTTGGTTGCTGCAGGAGCTCCGAAGGCCACCAAACTATCCACCAGGTATGTGCTCCAACGACATCGATCATTTCCCAGAATCCACAGTCACCATAAAGTGTGTGGTTCAGTGACCGTATGGTTTTAATTTCGACAGCAATCAATTTACCCACCCACCGTCAACTCGACGCACATGAGCGTAGTGACGTTCTATTCTCCCGACGACGGTAATTGGCACCTATTCAATTGTGAGCGATTTTCATTCAACCCATCGCAGTTCATGCTATCAGCTGTCGCGTGAGGATTCTCTCGTCTAAGCCGGCTGGCCTACACCGTACCATAACAATACAAACACTCCGAAGAAGTGCGATAAGCATAAGTGACGAATTTACATAATATAGCACTCGTGCCGACAAAATGCCAATTCGACGGAAGCCAGCTGTTTTCAAAGGGGTCCTCTGTCGTCCGACGACGGTTCGGCTCGCTTACGGAATGAGAATTTCCTAGTTTGCTTATCAACAATGAACGAATGCAGCACATGTTTTGGTTAGTCAGTCACTCTCTCTCCCTCTCTGTCTGATTCTCTTTGTGTCACTGACATGCTTCCGTATTCGAGCGAACATGTGATCGATGGGATGCTAAATAAATCATACTCTTGATCATCTGCAAAGTGTTTTGATTCGCTTCGATACATTAGTTTGTGTCGCTGACACGCCGCCATCTTTTCGTAACCAGCATAAAAACGTGATCACATATCAATCTAAGCGGGCCCAGAGCGTGGCTCGCCATGGCTACTTGTTATTAGTAGAGATAGGGGTGCCACCTCAATGGAAAAAGCAGGTGTTTTTCATCTGATAGTAATCAGATGGAGCAAGTCTAGTTGTAGCATGTTAGAAAAAGCTCTTGAGGACAACATCAAATGAGGTTAGGTGAACCTACAAGGTAAACACAGACGACTCTGAGAGCAACTCCAGATATCCTCAGATGCTAGCCTAGGATAAGATCAAATACGCAGAACCAGTCCAGAGGACTCCACTGTCGTCTAGACTTATTCTCACAGTTGTGTAACCGGTCCCCTCAAGAGCCACAATTCCCATGAAGTGATTTTAGCTAGTCCGGAAGTGTTATGGTGCTTCACCCTTTTTTCGCCTCAATTAATATGAAATCAAAACAAAACAAACAAATCGTTAGAGATTTATTAGTTGGACTTTGGATTATTCATAAATATTCTGTTGTCTACCCTTTATTTACGCGCATTTTCTTATGTACTCGCATAGCGCCAGCGTGAAGGTCATCCATCTTGGGCGGCTGTTAGCTCTTGCCTCTACCTGACTTCCAGGTCATATTTTTTTGTCGACTTTCTTGATTTCTGCCTCTGCTGCTATGTCCTGCAGAGAAATAGGTAGAGAGGCGAAGAGTGAAAAACCGTGGAAACGGCAGCACTCTTTTTATTATGATTCCATCCTACAAGTTCTGGCAACTGTTTCTGAAGGGCACACTTCAAGTGACTTTTTTCAACCATCTATTTGTGTTGTTTTTACCGAGGGGGACGACTCTATATACGATGCAAAAAAGATTGTGTTTTGCTGTGGCTAGCTGCGCGCACGCTGAGTAGATAGAAAGAAGATTGATGACGATTCTGAAGATTTCCTGCAAAAAATTGATGAGCGTTGCAAGTAGATGCGAGAAATGAAAGAAGATTGTTCGAATATTGATTCACTAGTGTGAGATTTGTTGAACATCTAAACTTGAGATTTAGATGTCTCGCCCCCTCGGTTTTTACACGCGTCAGAATTGGTTTTTATCGTTATTAAAATTTAATGATTGCTGATAATGAAGTGCTTTGCCAGTTTTTGTAAAAACCAGTATGTGAGTGGATACAAAGACATAACTTTCTTTCGATTTCCGAAAAGCCTGTTTATATGTTCTTTGTGGCACTTGAAAGGATCTTTCGTCAAAACATTGAACAGTATTTGCAGATCAACAAAAACATTGCTATTAAGTTAACTGGTTTGATGAACTCATTGAATGTTTATTGTTTTGAAAATTGTCATGATATTCGATCAAAAATTATTGATAGGTTTGTTAGTTTTAGACTTAAGATACATGAACCATACAAATCGCGTTCGATCAAACACGATAGTCGTTCGATGGCCTTGTAAAATATTGAATGATTAATAAACACTTTGTTCAGCACTAATAATTTAAATTTGTTCAGCAGATAAAAAAAGAAAGAAAATTTTACAAAAAATTGACCTTTATACTAAAAGAATATAGAAATAAATATCCTGAATATTACTACATTTTAAATTTAAGCATAACTTTTTATTTGTTCATGTTTTTTCTCATACTAAAAAGTTTTCTTCCAAATATATTCGCAGCGATTACAATACTTGCCTTCACCAAATTGGGGAACATCAACTTTTGTTCAGTTGATCAGTTTGACGGTTCGATAAGGTTTTTTTTGCTTCACACTCTTCGCCTCTCTACCTATTCTCTCTGGTGTCCTGCTGGATTCCAATCCAGCACTTGCGTGCCAATGTATTGGAAGATTGCCGCAAAAGCTCAACGCAGATGTCACCACTGCATGATGATGATAATGTTGACAGACTGCATATGAAATTCGTGAAAATTAGCATTAAATCATAATTTTCATCAAGCCTGCGTGAAATCCTTCCAATATAACATTCGAATTGAAGAAGAAAACGTTTTTATGATCAGACTGATGTGCAACTTTGACTTTTCCAGGAACTTTCATAAGATATATTTATTTCATTTCATGGCTCCATCAATGCTGCATCGTAAATATGATGGTAAACAGAAGTAAATTGCTCAATTACTCAAAATAAAGATGATTTGTCATCTTGTTATCACTTTGAAAACCATCTAGCACCATTTTATAGTATGGTGCGTGTTGAGTAAATCCAGTTCCGATGCGTTTTCCGTCGAAAATTGTGAGTATCAATATGTTTGCTTAAAAAAGGCCAAAATGAACATTTATTGAATATTGGCGTCCTAAACAACCAATTCTCTATTACCACCAGCATGATACAACCTTTCCTAAGTAAATTCACTTAATTTCCACTTTCATTCTAGTGGAAATCGCACATATTCACCATTTTCCGAAAAATGCAGCTGCGCAGGAAGTAACCTCTACCTGTGGGTGCAAACTTGTTATGCATAATTTTCCATGAAAACATCTCCGATCCATACTGAAATAATAACAGTTTGTTTGTAAACACGTTTTCTTACACGATTCAAGCAAAATTTTCCAAGGGAAATTATTAGTTTATCCTTATGGACCGATTTGCCTAAAAAATCGTCTGTTTTACTTGGAGAATTTGGAAACTATCCTCCTTCTAGTAGTTCTCACTTCGAAATGTAGGTGGCGAAAACTTGAAAAAGTTTCACTGCAAGACGCCAATTGTGTTGTTGACTTTATCTAGAGCATCTCTCACAATTTTTGCAATCCATTCTCTTGTTCCCAAATTCTCTACAACATTATAATGTTCGCCATTACACACAGTAGCATGATGCCTCACCAATTCTCGCACACAGGTACCCTGCATCCAGTTGGCCGAAAGAGTCGCAGTATTCCAGATATTATAGAATAATTGATGCTACATTTGTGCGGCTAGCATGGGGTCAGCATCTCTACTGATATGCGGTCGACCTTGGGACCCTTGTTGCATTTCATGCTCCTGCTTCTAGCTGCTTCTATCTCCTGCAATGATGGATGCTCGAGGCTCACGCGAGTGATGCGCTAAACCCGCCCTATTAACCTGATGAAATTGTTGGAAGTGCTCAAACCATCGTTTCAGATGGTTAGTGCAATCGGTAGTAAATAATCCTTTGGTTCATCCTTGTTGCACTCAGCCGTCGTGATATCCATTCACGCTCGCTTGTCCCGTCTACTAGACAGTGATGCCACATATACAGATTTATCTGTAATCATACAGATTTTTTTCAATACTTTGGTACTGATATCTGTATATACAGATTACAGTTTTTTTTTAAATATACAGTTTTTTTTTCAAATAGGGGAAATGGCTCTAATGGTGGCCCATGGATCTAAGATTGCTGCATTTATGTATGAGCTCAAATAAGGGGCATTTAGGCCGACATTACATCCATTTCCCCTATTTGACAGCATCTGTCACCAACATGTCTGTGTTTGACTGACAATGATCGGTTTCTGTACGTGGCGAATAAGAATGGAATCATTGTCCGGTATGACCTGGCCAAGCGGTAACGGCTGGTGGTCATAAAGGCGCGGAAGACGGTAGTTCTTTCGCTGGCCATTTTGCAGGATCTGGTAGTGGCCGATGAGATCAAGAGCTGGACGGAGCGACACATTGTTTCAGGGGGTTTTCCGGAAGATTACCCATCATTACCCATCACCCTTTCTGATAAATAATCGTTTCTTTCTTTTCGGCAGCTACGAGCACCAAACCCAAATGGCATATTTCACTAAATATAATATTAAATAAAACCATATCATACTATGCTTGATTACATTTTTGGATTTGTCGAATCGGCAAACAATCCGTTTAAACAATCACGAACTGATTGATTACAGCCTGTGACTCGAAGAGTCTTCTGTATATTTTGACATTTGAATAGCGAAATATCAAAATAAAGAAATACAATATTCTTGTAAACATTCAAATTAAAGTTTTCTGTTGTGGCAAAATACAAGAATATTTATAAAACAGATGAAAACGATTACGCATAGAAAAATACAGGTGGAACTGTCCCAAAGTGTTTACAGCCAAAAATACTAAGTACCCTTAGGTATATAAAGCGTTAGTAATGGAACAACATCATTTGGTTCTAATTCGGATTTGAAAACGGTTTTCACTCAAGTGTATACTCTTCCGTATATTCTAAGAAAAAAAATACCCATCAAGCGGCGCACAACGGTCTCGTCTACTGTTTTGAAGATTTTTTCATCTATGCTGCCGTTTTGATGACCTTTCACCTTCAGTTTCCTCTTCATAATTGCCCAGTAGTTTTCAATGGGCCTGAACTGGGGAAAATTCGGCGGATTGAGGGTTTTCGGAACA